TACAGATCGCTTGACGGAGAGCGAAACTCTCAAGCGCTCAGTCAGCGTGTTTATCGAGTGAAAATCTGTGTTGAACACCTCTCATTTACATACTGGCGTGTAAAATCTAAGAATTTATTAGCCAATGGCTAATGTTAGACGTTATTTAGTCGCCCAGAGTAAGATTTAGTCGCATATGCGAGTGATTTACTCGCAATGTAGAGGGTTGGACAATATCATGTGGTAAAAGCGACACATTGTTACTCTGTGTGTAAGGATGAGGGAGAGTATGTACCTGTAGCTGCAGATGTCGATGCAGCCATATTAATGACTTGGCCTGGTTTGTCCACGATAATGTAGGGGTTATTTATTACTGAGGGGCTGGACTTCATGTGCACTGGCGTGGATGATGATGTCCGGGGGAGAGGAGAGTGACTAGGGGTGGAGATAGGAGAACCTGGAACACAAAAAATTGTGTTTCTATGATTAGATTTATAGTGTGATCCTCATAAATTTCTCATCATGTTTAAGAGCCACACAACCTGCAAATCCATAATGCTTAACGAAGCAGTTTCACATCTTTACTATGGTCTCCTTTTCTTGTCTTATCTTTATACAACAAGCACACCGAGTTTGATGTTTGTATTTCCCTCAAAATAGCAAACTCGAGACTGACTTTAAACAATTTTTGAGTGTCAGAGAATACAGCGTTTTAAAATGTCAATGGTAAACAGTGTCATGTTAATGCAAGTTCATACCAGACTGCTACAAGTCAAGTATTTTCCTAGATATGTCAAAGTTTACGAGTCTCACAGCATCAAGTCTTTGAAAGTTATGCACTAGTAAGTAAACAAGATAGAACTGGTAGTTTGGTAATTTTGCATGCCAATCAGATGGCCTGTGATTATCCCTAAAACCTACTGTTTTTCTTTCAGATGTTTTGGCAGATGTTTTTTGTGGATATATTCATACATTCAATATTCATTCATTTTACCATAGTGAATTAGTGAAAGAACAGCCGCTTCCCTATCAGTGTGAAAGTTGAGTTTGGCTGCCACTAGGGGGCAAAACACAGCACTCGAACACAAATGTTAAGAGATATGGTGGCAAAAGTGGGTGGTTCTTGGTCAGAATAAGATGAAATGTGGACCAGACTTTATAAAGAGTAGGTCTGGCAAAGAAAGACTAGGTCATATCAGACTGAGCTCCTCTTAGATCTGCTGTCAAACACTGACAGCAAACCTATAATGCATTACAGAGGAGTTTCACAACTTTCTGACAGTCTCATTTTCTCTAGAAAATCGAAACCTACAGCAGAAAAAAGCCAGAACGACATGAAAGAGACTGTATATAGAGGATTTTACTGCTTGCATTTCAACTCTGCTCTTCTCCACCTTCCTTGTGCACCTGTGAGACTCACCAGACACAATCTTGCAGCTCATCGTAATTGGCTGAAATGATTTCCCAGGTGATTCAGCGGGACTGGGCACTTGCCCTTGTGGAATTATCTTACAGCTGGCTGTGATTGGCTGAAAGGCTGAGTTTCCGTGGGAACCAAGGGTGATTTTCTCAGACCTATTTGACTGTGAAGTTCGCTCAGAACATGAAGAACGCACCGACTCACTCTTGACAGTCACACCTGGAACTAAAATAAAAGGGACAACAATCAATTTCGTAATCAATAGATCTAATCAATAATTCGTTTACACATATTTAAGTACTAGAAGTATCTTTAAGAAGCAGCTTAAGTTGTCGTCCGAAACACAAAATGCATTTTCATACAAGTGACTTGGGCATGGAATGTATAATGAAGGTCTAGTCTTGGACTAATACAGATTTTCAAAACAGCTTCCAATGCTTATGCAATAAAGTGCAAACATCCTACTAATCCTCTTAATCAAAATAATCCCATTTTAAAGACACAGTGGGATATTGCATAATTCTTTTGTGTTACTATGTGGCATCCTGTGAAATGGACAAGCATTTGTGTATGTTTTGTCTACCTCTATCTGAGCTGGGCTGATCATCATGAGCGTGCAGAGAGTGAGAGGAGGGCCGCCGAGAGCCTTGGGTAGCTGTGCAGGAGGAACCAGACCCGCCCACAAATGGCAGATGAGAGGAAGATGATGATGATGATGATGATGATGAAGATGAGGGAGCAGAGGGGATGAAGTCATCACCTAGTGAGTTTCTGTGGAGCTCAACATCCACCACCTTTAGAAAATAAGAAACAGAAAGAAAAAATGGCATTTTAAAGATGAATCAAGATATATTTGACACTTGTAATAAACCTTGTCATCACAAAATCATTTTAGAACTATAAAACCCTGCACTTTCACTGTGTCCTGGTTGAAAAGTAATTTTCTGCTCCCTGAGTTCTGCAGCTTAAAAGAAACCTTCATCATTCTCAGCATTTTATTTTTTCCTTAGAATAAAAAAATGTAACTTTCTACATACCTAGTTGTACACATTCTGGAAAATCAGTTGCACGGATAATACGTTTAAAGGGTTAGTTCACCCAAAGATGAAAATTAGGCTGCGTTTTACTCACCCCCGAGGCATCCTAGGTGTATATGACTTTCTTCTTTCAGACGAATCCAGTCGGAGTTATATTAAAAATTGTCTTTGATCTTTCAAGCTCTATCATTGCAGTCAGCGGGTGTTGCATTGCTTCAGTCCATAAGAAGTTAAATAAAAAGCACCCATGCATAAAAAAATGTGTCTCACACGGCTCCGGGGGGTGAACAAAGGCCTCCTGTAGCGAATTGATGCGTTTTTGTAAGAAAAATATCTATATTAAAAACGTAATAATCACTTTAATCTAGCTTGCGCCAGCAGTTGTACACAGAAGCAGTTCCGGGAGCATGACGTATGAGGTCAGCATTGCGCATGCACCGGTGA